AAACACACAACTACAAACACAACTACAAAGACACAATCACAAACACATAGCCACAAACACAAAACCACAAACACACAACCACAACCACACAACCACAAACACACAATCACAAACACAATCACAAACACAATCACAAGTACAATCACAAACACGCAACTACAAACACAATCACAAACACACAACTACAAACACAACTACAAAGACACAATCACAAACACACAACCACAAACATACACACAACACACAACCACAAACACACACACACAAACACACAACCACAAACACACAACCACAAACACACAAACACAAACACACAAACACACAACCACAAACACACAACCACAAACACAACCACAAACACATCCACAAACACAACCACAAACACACAACCACAAGTACAAACACACAATCACAAAGACACAACCACAACCACAACTACAAACACATAATCACAAAGACACAACCACAACCACAACTACAAACACATAATCACAACCACTACCACAAACACAAACACATCCACAAACACACAACCGCAAACACAACTACAAACACACAATCACAAAGACACAACCACAACCACACCTACAAACACACAATCACAAAGACACAACCGCAACCACAACCACAACTACAAACACACAATCACAACCACTACCACAACCACAAACACACAACCACAAACACACGACCACAAACACAACCACAAACACACAACCACAAACACACAACCACAAACACAACCACAACCACAACACAGCACACAACCCGAGGACCCACAAGCAACATCGAGAACTACAATACTGACGACTATGGCAACATGCTCCTCACTATGGCATCAAGACAAATGATTGAAATGTCATGGTGGGGATCACTCGAAGTAAAGTAATTTGAAGTTTTTTTTTGTAGGTGAATATGTCAGTCCCAGGCATTGTCTGGGTTATGATGTGTTCCAAAACACATCCACATCACTTAACACATTAGACTCTTTAGACAGCATCGACATCTGTGCTGCTCTCGACTTGTGCTATGTGGGATGGCATCAAAGTCTCTGGCATCGTGGAACTCTTTAAAGTGATCACAGGCTGGTCTGTGACTCAAAGTGAGAAAGGAGGCCACCCTGTTACAGGGTATCCATCTCTATTGGTACCCTGTTACGGTCCAACGTGTTCACATCAGTTATTGAAGGAATTGGTGACACAATGGTGACACGTTCTCGGACCCTAGGGATCCAAGTACCTTCTCAGAAGGTGATTGGAGACACTGTTCTGTAGGTTTGGAGGGTCCAAGTACCTTCTGAGAAGGTGATTGGAGAC